GCCAGCCCCGTTCGACAACGCCATCATGGCCCTCCAAGGCCCTGCCATCCTTACCGCGCGTCCTTGTTATGCGACTCGGCTATACCTCAGAGGGTGCCGCAACCCTGCCAGCACATCCGCTGCTCCTGCGGCTCGCCCGCCGCCGCCGCAGATCCTGTTGCCTCTCCTCGTCGTCGCTGTTGCTCCTCCCTCCCTCGGTTGGTCCCTGGTCTTCTGGATGTGGAGGTTGCGAGATTGCATGACTTTGACTCCCCGACTGCTGTTGTAGAGTGTGCTCGCTGGTTTAAGCGGGTCCGCGCCAGAGTCGCTTGAAGAGCCGCCTCCATTGGAGGTATGTGCTCGGCACTGCGTCTTCGGACGAATGGGCACCTGCCCCATGCCGTCAGTCTCATTCTCAGTCCCTCCCCCGCCTGGTCCCTGGTGCTGCGCTCGCCTGGTTTTCTTTGAACTGCTGCTCCCTGCGCCCTCGAAGGCGTACTTCACCATGTCTTTCCTGAACCCCGAGAGCAAGGTCCACTTCGCCTACACGCTCAGGGATATGACCCTGAAGGACACTGTCTTTTTGGGCCTTGGGAAACACACCTGCAGTTGCGGGGAGGCAGTGATGATGACGATAAGGTCTGCTGCTGCTGACGGTGATGCTCATTATGATGATGCTGATGTTGATGCCGATGCTGATGATGATGATAGTGATGATGATGGTGCTGATGATGATGATGCTGATGATGATGATGATGATGATGATGCGGATGGTGCTGGTTGTAGTGATGCTGCTGCTGATGAAGATGTTGTTGTGGCTTGTCGTCATTCCGACGACTATAATGATGATTTCGATGTTGAGGAGTAGGGGGGGAGGAGGAGAATGACCAGTCTGATTACGATGACGATGATGATGATGATGATGATGATGCTGGTGATGATGATGATGATGCTGATTATGATGGTGATGGTGATGGTGATGATTATGCTGATGATGATGCTGATGATGATGATGATGATGATGATGATGTTGATGCTGATGCTGACGATGACGATGCTGATGATGCTGCTGATGGTGATGGTTGTGATGTTGCTGCTGATGATAATGCGGATAATCTGGCGCTGCTGGTGATGATGCTGCTGGTGATGATAGTGATGGTGATGATGCTGATGTGATGCTGCTGCGGCTTGTGATGCTGCTGCTGATCAGGGTTACGACGATGATTGTGGTGGTGGTGGTGGTGGTGGTGGTGGTGGTGGTCGGGGTGGTGGAGGAGCCACGCTGATGCTCATGAAGATGATGTTGATGATGGTGCTGGTGATGATGCTGCTGATGGTTATGATGCCTATGGTGATTTGTGATGATGATGATGATGATGATGATGATGATGCTGCTGCTGATGACGATGCTGACGATGACACTGACGATGCTGATGAGTAGGATGACGATGATGGTGATGATGGTGATGCTGATGATGATCATGATGATGATGCTGGTGCTGATGACGATGATGCTGCTGGTTATGATTTGATGATGCTGATGAGTATGATGGCGATATTTGTGATGATGATGCCGATGATGCTGATGCTGATGCTAATGCTGATGCTGATGCTGATGATGATGATGCTGATGATGATGATGACGACAGTGATGGTAATGTTGGTGGTAATAATGATTCTGAGTGGCGGTTATGCAGAGTTGACGATGTGGTTCGTCAGGATACCACTGACGTTTCGTATCTCCAGCGCAGAAAACGAAGAGGGGATCAGGGGGACGAGGGAGGGGGCGGCGGGATGATGACGGTGATGATCAGCACGATGGTGGTGATGATGGCGATGATGGGGAGGACGGGCAACATGTGAAGCAGTAGGAGCACCTCCCCAGTGCGCCAGCTTCTGTATCTGGGACGCCGCACGGCGAGGCACCGATATGCAGATAGCGGCCTTTGGGGCGTGTCCCTCTCCTCCTCCTCGTGGCCTTCTTTGGAAGCCGCCTACATTGATTGGAGAGAGCAGGGATTTGCCCAATCGCAGCTAGGGACAGGTCGCGACATATCCAAACACCTCCCGCATGATGCACAGCGCATTAGTGTTTGTGGAGTGCGACGCAGGCCCCGCTGGCCTGCGATTGGGCCAGCTCTGGCCAGCCAAGCTGCCGCGCCCAGGAAGCCCCGCAGGAGCCCGCAGATCCCGCGCGTCTGATTCTCTAAGCAGCTTGTCCGTGAGCGCATCGCACGTCCCATGGTTCAAAGGCACGTGTGAGCTCCTCCGGATCTGGGATCGGTGGCTCGTGGTTCCCCGTAAGGTTACACGTATGGTCTCCATTCAAACGCCACGTACGGTCTCCTGTATGGTTTCTCGCGTGGCCTCCCGCATGGTCTCCCGTGTGTTTTTCTTCATGGCCTCCGCTGTGGTCCTCTTCCACAGGGTCCTTTTGGCACTCTCGAGGGCACTCGCTGCACTGCTTCTTCCCTGTCTGCAGTACTTCCGCACTGCTCTGTCCAGTGCTCGAGAGAGCTGTTCAGGGTCTTCTGCCGCCAAGGGCAAAGTTCTGTCTGCAGTTGCACATGTTGTAGTATCCCTCCTCCTCCTCATCCTTCTCCTCCCTCCTCCTCCCCCTGCTCCTCCGCCTCCTGCTCCTCTCCTCCTCCTCGTTCTCCTCCTTTTCCTCCTCCTCCTCCTCTTCCTCTCTATCTTCCAGTACTCGTCGGCGAGCGAGGGGGGGGAAGTGAGATGGAGAAGGCCTTCTCAGAAGGCGGCGGGACTTCTCAGAAGTCCTCGCGCCTTCTAAGAGGTTTTTCCCAACCATCCTGTGGTGTTGGGTCCTCGTTGAGAAGAGATGGTCCCCGCGTTCCCTCCCTCCCTCCTTCGCTTCCTCCTTCCTTCCTCCTTCCCTCCTTGCCTCTGGTCCCTCGCATGCCCATTTCGGCGCAACCCTCACACGCTTCGTGGCCCCATGGGGTGCTCCGCCGAAGGCCCCAGTGGCAGGGTCCGCATGCAGTTCCACCTCCACTTCGGCGCACCCGTCAGACGTTTCGTGGCCCCATAAGGGGGCTCCACCGAAGGCCCCAGTGGCAGGGTCCGCATGCAGTTCCACCCCCATTTCGGCGCAAACTTCGCACGCTTCGTGGCCCCATTGGGAGCTCCACCGAAGGTTTCTTTGGCAGGGTCCGCATGCAGTTCCACCTCGACTTCGGCGCACCCCTCACACGTTTCGTGGCCCCATGGGGTGCTCCGCCGGAGGCCCCAGTGGCAGGGTCCGCATGCAGTTCCACCTCCACTTCGGCGCACCCGTCAGACGTTTCGTGGCCCCATAAGGGGGCTCCACCGAAGGCCCCAGTGGCAGGGTCCGTATGCAGTTCCACCCCCATTTCGGCGCAGCCTTCGCACGCTTCGTGGCCCCATTGGGAGCTACGCCGAAGGTCCCAGTGGCAGGGTCCGCATGCAGTTCCACCTCCACTTCGGCGCACCCCTCACACGTTTCGCCCCATGGGGTGCTCCGCCGGAGGCCCCAGTGGCAGGGTCCGCATGCAGTTCCATCCCCATGTTGGCGCACCCCTTATACGTTCTGCGGCCCCATAGGGAGCTCCACCGAAGGTCCCAGTGGCAGGGTCCGCATGCAGTTCCACCTCCACATCGGCGCACCCATTACACGTTCCGTGGCCACATGGGGTGCTCCGCCGAAGGCCCCAGTGGCAGGGTCCGCATGCAGTTCCACCTCCACTTCGGCGCACCTCTCATACGTTTCATGACCCGTCGGGAGCTCCACCGAAGGTCCCAGTGGCAGGGTCCGCATGCAGTTCCATGCCAATTTTGGCGCACCCCTCATACGTTCTGCGGCCTCATGGGGCGCTCCGCCGAAGGCCCCAGTGGCAGGGTCCGCATGCAGTTCCACCTCCACTTCGGCGCACCTCTCACACGTTTCGTGGCCCCATAGAGTGCTCCGCCGAAGGCCCCAGTGGCAGGGTCCGCATGCAGTTCCACCTCCACTTCGGCGCACCCCTCGCACGTTTCGTGGCCACATAAAGCGTTCCACCGAAGGCCCCAGTGGCAGGGTCCGCATGCAGTTCCACCTCGACTTCGGCGCACCCCTCACACGTTTCGCGGCCCATTTGGGAGCTCCACCGAAGGCCCCAGTGGCAGGGTCCGCATGCAGTTCCATCTCCATTTCGGCGCACCCCTCACACGTTTGGTGGCCCCATAGGAAGCTCTACCGAAGGTCCCAGTGGCAGGGTCCGCATGCAGTTCCATCCCCATGTTGGCGCACCCCTTATACGTTCTGCGACCCCATCGGACGCTCCACCGAAGGCCCCAGTTGCAGGGTCCGCATGCAGTTCCACCTCCACATCGGCGCACCCATTACACGTTCCGTGGCCCCCTAGGGTGTTCCGCCGAAGGCCCCAGTGACAGGGTCCGCATGCAGTTCCACCTCCACTTCGGCGCACCCCTCACACGTTTCGTGGCCCCATAGGGAGCTCCACCGAAGGCCCCAGTGACAGGGTCCGCACGCAGTTCCACCTGCAGTTTGGCGCACCCCGCACACTTTTCGTGGCCCCATAGGGAGCTCCACCGAAGGCCCTAGTAGTGGCAGCGCCCGCACGCGGTTCCACCCTGCATCGGGCGCACCCCTCGCACGTTCCGTGGCTTCACATGGGGTGCTCCACCGACGGCTCCGGTGGCAGCGTCTGCATGGTGTACACGTGTCAATTTTGGCACACCTATCACACGCGTCGTGACCCCAGAGAGATTCACCGAGGTCGATACCCACAACTGCGTTATTCACAACTGCGCATGGCTGGGTCCCTCGCCAGGATAATCTCGGTCTTCGGGGAAGGCTTAGAACACTTCTCAGAAGGCCGGGGGACTTCCGAGCCTTCCGAGAAGGCCTTCTCCTTCTCACTTCCCCCCCCTCGCTCGCCGCGGAAGTACGCTCGCGGCGCGATCCTGTTGGTTCCATTGTGCGCCAGGCTGCGACTCGAGAAACATTGAGCCGAGGCCTCGCAGGGCCTCCCATGGTCTTCCCCGGATGGACCGGGCGACTCCAAGGGATCTCCCCGGGTGCTTCACGAGACCTGGGCTTCCATTCGCCCTCTCCTCCTCCGTGTCAGGGTTGGACCTAAACGGTGTTTTCGTGATTTCGTGGGCCGTTTTCGTTTCGATGTCGTTTTGCAGCAGAGGCGGATTGGAGACAAAACAGGGGAAAACGACAACGAAACGACAACGAAAAACACTGTTTAGGTCCATCTCTGCTCCATGTCTTTCGCCCGTCCCAACGCCTTCCTCATCGCTGTGGCAGACGGGGAGTCATCGATGATGTGGATAAGGAGTAGTGAAAGGAGGAGGGTGACGACAGGGATGAGGAGGAGCCCCCCCCGGCAGGATGGCCTACTGGGTCCGCTGCTCGGCACCATCGTGGGGACCTTCCTGTCCGTGCTCGCCTCGCTTTGTCTTCGCCTGAGCTGGGCGGAGGAGGAAGACCGGGAGGAGAAGGGTGAGGATGAGGAGGGGGGAAGGATGTTCGAGGGTCAGTGACGCATTCGTCAAGTTTCGAGGATCGGTGTCTCGGAGGTTTCTGGCAGTTTTCGGAGGAAGTCGGGGCCGCGGGGACGCAGCTCGAACAGCTGGCGAGGACGGGCCAGCGATTTTAAACGGATTTCGTGTTGATGATAGAGGACCAACGATTTGGGATATTTCTGGCCAATATGTGGCCTGCACGCCACCAGAGGCCTCCAGAGACTTCTGGAGAGCTTCAGAGTCTCACGTGGAGATGAGGCCAGGACGAGGATCATGTGAGGGAGGAGAAGGAGGATGGCGACGGCCTGCATGTGGCGGAGGAGGATGAGAGAGCAGAAGGGTGAACATGGAGGCAAAGGAGAGAGGAGGCGAGGGAGCACAGAGGTGAGGGGATTAGGATCGGGAAGGGGGGTGGAGAGGGATGTGGGAGAATACGGAAGAGGAGGGGGGCGAGGACGATGACGATGAAGGAGGAGGAGGAGGAGGCGGAGGAGGAGGAGGCGGAGGAGGTGGAGGAGGAAGAGGAGGAGGAGGAGGATGGGGAGGGGGAGGAGAAGGAGGAGGAGGGAGGAGGAGGAGGAGGAAGAGGAGGAGGCGGAGGAGAAGGAACGGAGGAACAGGAGGAAGGAGGAGGAGGAGGAGAGGACGGGACGAGGACGAGATGATGATGATGATGATGATGATGATGATGATGATGCTGATGATGATGATGATGCTGATGCTGATGCTGATGATGACGATGATGATGATGATGATGATGATGATGATGATGATGATGATGATGATGATGATGATGCTGATGATGATGATGATGGTGGTGGTGGTGGTGGTGGTGATGCTGGTGATGATGATGCTGATGATGATGAGGATGAGGACGAGGATGAGGATGAAGAAGATGATGCTGATTATGATGCTGATGATGATGATGATGATGCTAATGATGCTGATGATGCGCATGATGTTGATGCTGATGCTGATGCTGATGTTGCTGACGATGACGATGATGCTAATGATGTTGATTATGCTGATGATGATGATGATGATGATGATGATGATGATGATGATGATGATGATGATGATGATGATGATGATGATGGTGATGCTGATGCTGATGATGATGATGGTGATGATGCTGTTGATGCTGATGCTGATGATGTTGATGCTGATGATGATGAGGAAGAGGGGGATGAGGAGGAGGGGGAGGAGGAGGAGGACAAGGAGGACGAGGAAGATGAGGAAGAGGAGGAGGAGGAGGAGGAGGAGGAGGAGGAGGAGGGAGGAGGAGGAGGAGGATGAGGAGGAGGAGGAGGAGGAGGCGGAGGGAGAGGATGAGGAAGAGGAGGAGGAGGCGGAGGAGGAGGAGGAGGACGATGAGGAGGAGGCGGAAACGGAGGAGGAGGAGGAGGAGGAGGAGGAGGAGGAGGAGGAGGAGGAAGCAAGGAGGGAGGCGGAGGCGGACGCGTCGAGCATGGATTGGCGGAGGGAAGGGCCGACATCCACAGAAACGGCAGGGAAGCATACAGCTGGATACGCCTGATGCCGCCGCTCAAGATACAAGGTACAGCTGCATCATTTTGGCACGCACCATCGATTTCAGCAGCGAATGTGCAACCGACGCGTAAGGTGAGACGTGCATTGACCCATCCATGCGCGAACTCCTACTTCCCTCAGGAAGGACGAGGGAGGAGGGGTGGGTAGGAGGGAAGTTGAAATACATGATCCAGCAGGTGGGGAGGGAGGGAGGGAGGGAGGGAGGGAGGGTTGAGTAGGGAAAGCGATGAGGCAGGAGGGAGGGAGGAGATAAGAGGGAAGAGGAAGACGAATGAAGGAGAGAGAAACCAGATGGGCGAGCGGAGTAGGACGAGGAAATTGGAGGAATGGCGGGGCAGCGTGACATAGGGAGGGGTAAATGCAGATGGGGGAGGGCGTCGTCTCGAGGGAAAATGGGGGAAGAAGGGAGGGGGAAGGAGGGAGCAGGGCTGGTGATGCTGTGGCAACATGAGTAGGGACGATGATGGAGGTTTGATCGAGGGGAAGGAGGAGGGGGGAGGGGGAAGGGATAGGGAGGAGGAGGAGGATACTGATGCGGAGGCGAAGGACGAGAACGATGAGGATGAGGAATATGAGGATGTTGATAATAACGAGGAGTCGAAGTACCGAACACGTATACCAAAGAGTTTCAGAGCGCGAATAGTTGTTCGGTCGTAGCTCGATTAGCAGCCCGATCTCAGGCGTCCCCATCCTCTAGATTGGAGCTTCCGATGCTGCTGGAGCTCTCGGTGCACATGAAACCGCTATAGTTGCCTGAATCTCAAGTTAAGTTCGAAAGACTAAATTCTCGGCAAACTAGTATTTCCTTAAGGTCGGTTACAGGAGCCGATAGAAGTATTGCATCGACAGCCCTGATTTTTGTTTACCAGCGAAGGCACGTGATCCAACTGGGCGCCGGCGGTAAACCGTCAACCAAAGTTACCGCTGGGGAACTCGTAGAGCTTCTGTCCGATCAGAGACGCCTCTACAAATGATCGCATAATCGATGGCAGTGATATTAAGTTCCAATCGTAGCTTCTGAGTTGCTCAATTCTCGCGTAAAGCCGCGCGTCAGCAAATGCTCCAGAGTTTGAATAGTTGTTCGGTCATAGCTCGAGTAGCAGACCGATTTCAAGGGCCCCTATCCTCTAGATTGGAGCTTCCGATGCTGCTGGAGCTCTCGGTGCACATGAAGTCGCTGTAACTGCCTGAATCTCAAGTTAAGTTCGAAAGACTAAGTTCTCGGCAAACTAGTATTGTCTTAAGGTCGCTGCAGGAACCGATAGAATTATTGCAGCTGCAGCCCCATGCTTTTTTTACCAGCAAAGGCACGTTAACCAACTGGGCGCCGGCGGTAAACCGTCAACCAAAGTTACCGCCGGGGAACTCGTAGACTCGTAGAGCTTCTGTCCGAGCAGCGACGCCTCTACAACTGATCGCATAATCGGTGGCAATGGTATTAAGTTCCAATCATAGCTGCTGAGCTGCAATAGCAGACCGATTTCAGGCTTCCCGATCCTCTAGAATAATACTTCTGGTGCTCCTGCAGCTATTGGTGCACATGAACCCGCGGTACATGCTCTAAATATCGAGATTCAGTCGAATAACTGAACATGCACCAAACAAGTTGCAGACTGCAAATCGTGTTTTGGTCAGAGCTCGAGTAGCAGACCGATTTCAGGCTTCTCTTTCGGATAAGTAGGATGAGGACGATGATGCGATTGGAAGGAAGACCACGAAGAAGGGGGCATCAGGAACATAAGGAAAAGGAACAAACATAGGATGATGGGAGGCGGAAGCCGATGACGAAGAGGGAGAGGATTTCGATGAAGATGAGGTCGAGGCAAGTACGAGGATGAGTTCATGATTGTGCTGACGGGGAGGCAGAGTAGAAGCAGGATGGTGGGGGTGCAGATGGCAACGGTCAGCCTGTAAAAGCTCAGGCCCGCATCCGCTCTCGGCCTTCACCAACGCGCAGGACATGGCTGTGGAGATATCCTGGAAGATCGGCCGACAGTGGGAGAATTCAGGCGCGCCACTCCTACCTTTGCTCCTCCCCTTCATCGTCCCCTGTCATCATCCTAACCCTCCTGCTGCTGCTCCTCTTCTTCCTTCTGCTGCTGGTCCTCCATCGTCGTCGTCGTTGTCGTCCTCCACCTTCTTCTCACTGATTCGTCCTTCTCATCCTCTTTCTGTATCTCGTTGTCACGGTTGTCAAAATCCACGTCGCCGCCGCCTCTCCTGCCCTCGTTTCCTGTTCCTTCCCTATCTCTCTCCTACAGTCGGCCCAGATAAGTAGGTCGACCCTGCCAAATCGAGGGTACCCTTGTGTCCTGTGCCTCGCAACCCATGCCTCCTACATTCCTGTGGCGATGTGGCCCTCGGAAGGGTCTTGTGTTCTCTCGCGTGTCCTGTCCAACCAAGTCCGACTGTACTCCTACTCCTACTCCTCTCCTCTCCTTCTATAGATATTCAAGAGGCTTGCGCAGTCGCGTCGAGGCAAGAGGATGTGTGTGGCTTCCGAGTATGTGTTATTTGGCGATTCCTGTCGTGGTGCCCACGGGTAGTTGTTGCCGAGGCGCCCTCCTCTTCCTCCGCGTCTGTTGCGGGGCCTCTTCAGGGCCTATCCATGGCGTCTGGGGCGGCCACTCGGAAGCATTTTCAGGGCTTCTGGGGGTTGGCCATTTGGGCTTAGGTAATCTTCTCATGTGGTACATTCGGTTTTGCTTCAGGCTAAGGCGGTCGGCTCGTGTGAGGTTCCTGGCTTGCTTGGCGACGTTGAGCTTTTCGCACGGCGGATCTACGATCGCCGACCTACGATGATAAACAAGCAAATCAGGGCATCTTGGGGCTTCTGGGGGCCCTCTGGGGGCCTTCCTTGGGGGCAGAGCCCCTCTTGTGTCGGGGGCCCCAAAACGGGGTGGTGACCACACCGTGCGGTGAGTCGGTGGGGATTCGGGGTCACCGCACGGTTTTGGGACTCGAGGCCCTCTCCGAGGACGTCTCGGTCGACAGGGGCCTCCGGGGTCCCAAGACCGTGCGGTGACGGACCGTGCGGTGAGGTCTTGGGGGATTTCGAGGTCACCGCACGGTGCGTCACCGCACCGTTTCGGGACTCCAAATCTTGGGCCCTTCCTGTTTTTTTTTGGCTTAGCTTTCGCTTAGCTTTAGTTTAGTTTCAACTTAGCTTTAGCTTAGCTGTAGCTTTACTGTTCGTACTAATGCTGCTTTCCTAGGGGCTCCAACTCCTATGTAGGGTCGCACTGGGATAATTTTTGGAGGGGGCCGTCCTGGGGGCGGAGGGTGGCCTCTGAGAGAGGCCGGCTGCGCCCCCGCAGGACCGCAGGCCCCTCTCCCCCCGCCTTGCCCCCCCGCGTGCGCGCCGTGGAAGTAAGGCCCGACTGTGTCTTCAGCCCTCCTCCTCCTCCTCCTCCTCCTCCTCCTCCTTTTTGTATCTCGCTCCGACTGGCGGTGCTGGCGCCCCGCAGCCAGCCCTAGTACCCGAGCTTTGGGGTACCGCCAGCCAGGCGAGGCATGCCGTCCTTTTCACTGCAGAGTGCTGTTTGGCGCAACCTCTTTGCTGGGCACGGGGGTGGACGCTGGGCTCCCTTGTCCACCCTGACTGCTGCCCAGACCCACCTTCCCAACTCTCCGCCACAGGCGGCGGAGGAACGGGATTGTGGACAGGCGTGCAACGCCACATCTGCGCCCAACTGAGTACTGTGCGTGTGTGCGTGCGTGTGTGGTCCTGCACGCGTGTCAGGCACCCGCCTCAGGGGGAAGGAGCGCTGCACACTCTTCTGCGGCACAGGGCTGCAGCTTCGCCTCAGCCCACAGCTGTCTCCTGGGGTCAGAGCTTCTTTCCTGGTCTGACGGTGCTGGTTACGCAGCCAGCCCTAGAACACCAGTTTTGGGGTTCCGCCAGCCAGGCGGCATCCCCCACAGGGGGCCTCTGAGCACGGGGGTGGACTTGGGTTGCCAGTCCGCCCCGACAGTGGCTCTGCCCAACTTCCCCATCCCCCACGATCGTGGGCGGTGGCGGTTCGGTGCTGCTGAGGCCTGGTGTGCAAGGCCACACCAGGCCCCAGCACCGCATTCAGCATCGGCAGCGCACTGCCGTCTCAGCGGCATCCATCGCCGCTGTGGAGAACAACTGGTGGCCCAGTGCCATGAGGTTTCGGAGTAGGGTCGGGTCGGCCAACCCTTAGCCTCCACATTCGCCAATTGATGGTCCTCCTCCTCCTCCTCCTCCTCCTCCTCCTCCTCCTCCTCCTCCTCCTCCTCCTACCCCTCCTCCTCCACCTCCTCCTCCCCCTCCTCCTCCCCCCCCTCCCACCCTGCCCCCGCCGCGGCGCAGCCCCCTTCCCCAGCCAGCGGCGGCAGGTCCTGGGCCCAGCGACCCCGTGCCACGCGTCATTTCGGCACCGCCCCGCGACGGGCCCGGCCTCTCGGCTGGGGAGGCTGACCGCGACTCGCGCGGAGGCGGCCCCAATGGCCACTCCGCCTCGGTCACCGGTGACCTTGGCTCCCAGGGGCCTCTCCCGCCGGCCCCTCTTTGGCTCCCTGTCCTCTCGCCCGCCCCCCCTTGGTGCCCGCGCGAGTGCCGCGTGTGCGAGCTGACCGAGTTGTAGGGAGCCTGTCCGGCACCACCACCATCGCGCTCCGAGTGGTTCTGCAATTGGCTTCTGGCGCATGCCCCCGCCTCGCTCCCCCTACGGGTGACCCTGCCTTGAACACGATGATCGCACAACGTCATCCTCCTACCACGCGCATTGGTTAGGTGCGGTGGAGGTTCATCATATTGACCTTAGTCAGTCCGCTGTCCAAGAAAATCTGTCACGTCGCGTTATCGCCGAATCTGCTCCAGAAGCAGTGGGCTAAGACATGTCACTGTGCGCTGGTGATTCGATACCCACGTTAGGGGAGGTCCCGTACCGAGGGGGGAAGTATGGGGTTATTGTTTCAGGTTGTCTGGGAAGTGAGTAACCTATTGACACCAGCTGATTGAGACATGACAGGAGGCATACTTTGCTTACGGAAAGAACTAATGCATGACATGTGTTTCCGTAAGAGATCCACATTGATTATTTCAAGTTTGTGCCATAAGCTAACCTTGCACGTTTCTCCAGATAATCCTCTCTTTTCGTCATGCGCCTCGCTCGCGCTCACACTCACGCACACTCATGCTCACAGGAAAGTTGAAGCGTCTTTGGCTCAAAGGGTCAAACGGGGAACATGTGTTTGGAACAGTAAGCTCTTCCGGCAGTATTAGTAGTGGCGGCAGCATGCGTATTAGTACCACAGTTGTAATTGGTTGTGGTCGTTGGAGTCGTACCTGCAGTAGTCGTACTAGTAGTCGTAGTAGTAGTGGTAGTAGTAGTAGTAGTAGTAGTAGTAGTAGTAGTAGTGGTAGTAGTAGTAGTACTAGTCGTAGTAGTCGTAGTAGTAGTAGTAATAGTAGTAGTAGTAGTAGTAGTAGTAGTAGTAGTAGTAGTAGTAGTACTAGTAGTAGTAGTAGTAGTACTAGTAGTAGTAGTAGTAGTAGTAGTACTAGTAGTAGTAGTAGTAGTAGTAATAGTAGTAGTAGTAGTAGGAAAGTCGGCGTAGGAGTAGGTAGTAGGCCTAGTGAGTAGTAGTAGTAGTGGTAGTAGTCGTGTCCATAGTAATTCGTAGTAAGTAAGTAGTAGTAGTAGCAGTATAGTAGTATATACGAGTTTAGTACTAGTAAGTAGTAGTCGTCTATTCGTCGTATTAGTAGTCGTAATAGTAGTAGTAGTAGTCGTAGTAGTAGTCGTAGTCGTATTACTCTCACTAGCATTAGTCGTAGTCGTAGTCGCAGTCGTAGTCGTAGTCGTAGTCGTAGTCGTAGTCGTAGTCGTGTAGTAGTAGTAGTAGTAGTAGTAGTAGTAGTTGTAGTAGTAGTAGTAGTAGTAGTAGTAGTAGTAGTAGTAGTAGTAGTAGTAGTCGTAGTCGTCGTAGTAGTAGTAGTAGTAGTAGTAGTAGTAGTAGTAGTAGTAGTAGTAGTAGTAGTCAGTAGTAGTAGTAGTAGTAGTAGTAGTAGTAGTAGTAGTAGTAGTAGTATTACAGTCGACGTAGTAGTAGCCGTAGTAGTAGGAATAGTAGTAGTAGTAGT